TCCCACAGCATCGATGCCCAAGTTGCTGGCTTCTCCAGGTCGATGGAGCCTCTGAGCCAAAGAGATCCAGCCTCCTGTGGCCAGCCGGGTGCTGAACCTCAGCCCACATGCCACCTCGGCTGATCTTTGGGTCCCAGACACATCTCGTCTGTCTCTGGCCAGCCCAGGCCTGAAAGCTTTTCCAGCCTGGTGGGACCGGCGCAGAGCTGTGGAGATCTCACCCAGGGTTCCCTCCCAGGAGGAGGATAGAACCAGGAGCAAATGGCACAAAGCCACGGGGCCAGATCTGAATCAGCTTACCTGCATTGGTTAACAGGAACAGTAAGTGTCTTACCGCTGACCAGAAAGTGCTTCAAACATCCGCCTGGTCTCCACTGCTTTCATCTCTCTGATGATCCCTTTGGGGGTGCTGTGCATAGAACACATGAACTTGGAGCCGGAAGCCCTGAGTTCAAATCCTGCCTCAGACACTTATAAAACAGACAGCTGTGTTACCCTAGACAAATCATCTCACCCCTCAGCCTCAGTTTCCTCCTCTGTAAAATGGGGGTGATAATAAGTACCTATCTTGGAGGCTTGTGGTGAGGAAAAAGTGAGATACTGAAAAATTCTTTTCAAATCTTAGAATATTCTGCAAATACTATTATTATTGTTGTTGTTGTTGTGAAGCCCAACTTAGCTTGCACATATCAGGTGCTTTGCCAGCCTTACGATACTCAGTAAATGCTGGTTATTATGCTTGTCAAGTAGGTGTTGGGTGTGCTTAGCACGGTCCTAGGCACTGAGGAGGGAAGAGGATACAAAAGGAGTCATGGCAGAGTCCCCGCCCCTACCTAGGACTTTTTAAAGACCTAGAGCCTTCTGGGTAAGTAGAGGCAGCACTGTGGTTTTCTCTTCCCCTTTAGGGGACTCAGACAATCAAAGGCTTTCCCCCACAGTCCCTCGGGGAGCCTGGATGCGTGTAGACCTCCTGTGTTCTGATGGCCATGTGGAATGGCTCCCCCATTCTAGCTCCAGGCCTGCTGTCTCGGGGCTTCTCTGCCCACGTGTAGGAGCCCAACCCCCATCGCTGATCATTGTTCTTAAAATAAAAAGTGACCTCTTCATTGCTGATTTCTTGATGATCACGTGTGGCTGGGAAAGTCACATTCTTCGCTGAAAGTCAGCGCGTTTGTCTCCATGCTGGCTGCCCCCGGTGTTTCCCTTCGTGACTTTTAGTCCCTTTCCGCTCTCTTCAACAAGGCCCCTGACAGCTGGGCTCCCAAAGGACTGAGGACTCGGGAATCTACTGGGCGCTGCCAAATTCTGCAAAGTCGCTTTCCACCCACAGCCTCCAGGCTTTATGTGAAGCTGTGGAAAAATCTGATTCCGTTTCCAGCTGCCCCTTCAGATTCCAAGGTATCCTGTAACATAGAGGCGTCTGCAGATATACCTCCAGGCTCTTCTCTCTCGATCCATTTTGTGTGAACAGAACAGCTCCTTTCCAACAATCCCAAATAAACCTTTGTGTGTCCCCTGGCGAGCAGCTACTCAGTGTAGTGCAGGCGCCATATGAAGGCACCTTTGTTGTGCTTTTTCTTGTTCAATCATTTCAGTCATGTTTGGCTCTCCGTGACCCCATGTTAAAGATGCTATAGTGGTTTGCCATTTCCTTCTCCAGCTCATTTGACAGATGAGGAAACTGAGGCAGACGGGCCAGGTCACCCAGCAAGGAAGTGTCTAAGGCCAGATTTGAACTCAGGAAGAGGAGTCTTCCTGACTCCAGGCCCGGAGCTCTATCCGCTGTGCCATCTCACTGCCCCAAACACTCTTACATTGGCTGGGAATTGAACCTGGGTCTCCAACATGGGAGGTGAGGATTCTACCACTGAGCCCCCAGGGCCCACAGATCTCTCTGTTTGACTGCACCAGGAGTAGAAAGAAAATGCAAACCGGCCCTCTGTGCATTCTCTTGGGGAATTCAGTATTCAAGATCAGTGAGTGCAAGGCTGGGTGATTTGAGGAAGATGAAGGTACCAGACTGTGGGAATCAGGCGGGGCTTCCTGGAGGAGTCAGCCCCTGAGCTGAGGCAGAAGGGAGCTCAGGGTCCCTAGGGGAGAGAGGAGGGTGTGACGGCCATGTCCTTTCACTCCGGCTCACTGTCACGAGCACCCGCCTTTGTCTTGGATTGGCTGCTTCGTTCTTTGGCCTTAACTTTCATCCTCGTACCAGTCCTGCTCATCGTCTTTAACCGGATTCATTGTGTTGCTTCAGTTTGCATCATTGTGGCGAGTGGGCCCCGTTGGTGCTGCGTTCTTCGTTCAGCGTCGTTCCCTACAAGTCTTCCCGTGTTCCTCTGAATTCTGCGTATTGGCTGTCCCTTCTGGCACAGAAATATCCTCTCTCACTCATGTCGCTGTGTCCTAGTCAGCCATCCCCCTGTCACAGGGCATACGTTTTCTCTCTAGCTCTTGGCACTCCCCAGTAATGGTGCCATGACCATTTGGTCCATGATGGTCTTGCTTTGCTGACTGTCAGTAGGACCCTTCTTTGAATATGGCACCGGGAGCAGGATGCTGAGTCAAAGAGTAAGTACACTTGAGGACCTTTTCCTGATGGTTGAACCACTTTGTAAGTCTACTGTCAGGGAATTAGCAGGCCTGTATTTCTGCAGCATTTCCACCAAGGGGTTCTCACATCTCTTAGTATCTCTCGGAGCTTGATGGGTCCCTCAAAATTGATTTAATTTGCCTTTCTCTGATTAGTAGTGATTTTGACCGTTTTTCCAAGTGGTTATTGATATTTTGTATTTCTTTTGAAAACTGTCCAAATCCTTTGCCTATATCTACTGGGCAGTAGCTTTAATCTTATATATTTGTGTTTATTCTCTATTGATTCAGACTTTTTCTAGTCCATATGTTTTCTTTTAGATCCGGCTGCATTGATTTTTAGTTGTGCCGATTTTAAAATTTAAATAATCAACATTGCCTTTTTTGTCTTATTTGATCTCTTCTGTAGTACTCATCAGCTTACTGATGTTCTCTCTATCCATAACTGTAAAAGATAAGATCTTCCATTCCTCTCTTACTTTTTTCCCGTAGCATGACTTTGTCCATTTGGAATTTACTCTTAAGTTACAAGATGGTGGCCTAGACGCTATCTGGCCAAACAGTCGGTCAGTTTCTCCAGCCGTGCTCATGCACAAGGAATCTTCTGGCCAGTTTGGTGTGTCCTTGGGTTCATCAGACACTAGGCTATTAAGCTCCCTTACTTCTAGCTCTTGGTGTGCTCCTCTCTTCTGCTGGTCTGTCTCTTTTTTTGTTCAGTACTCGGCACATTTGATAATTACTGCTTTACAGTAATTATATCTGGTAGTGAGGCTAATCCAGTCTGAACTTTCCTGATTTTGTGGGCATTTTCCTTGGTTCATTCTGTTTAGGCCATTTAGAAATTAATTTCATTCGACTTAGCAGCCATGTGGGACAGTAGAGAGAGCCCATGACTTGGAATCAGAGGACATGGGGTGAAGGCCAGGCTTTGCCACTTGCTTACTTGGAAAGATTGCCCCTGTCTCTAGGCCTCAGTTTTATCATCTGTAAAATGCCAGGATCAGTCCTGTCTGGCTCTCAGTCCTGGATTCTTGTACCAACCAAATGAACTCCTGTACATCCTTCCCCCTCTCTGGACCTCAGGTTATGCCCTGACCTCTGCCCTCATGTGCTCCGTGGCACGTAGTAGGTGCTTAACAAAGGCTTGCTTTCTCTCCACGTAGGGGGCAGAGCCCTCTTGCAAGACCTTTCAGAGACCTTTCTGATTTCTGGGAAGCTCTCTGTGGGACCTGCTTCTGGCTGGAAGGATTGAGCCCTGACACCCCCACCAAGGGCAGTGTGACAAAGGAACAAGCAGAGATCCTGAAAATCCACTGTGTCACCAGCGAGTCAGTGGCATCCACTAAGCACCTACTGTGTGCCAGGCACTGTGCTAAGTACTGGAGATACAGGAAAGACAAAAGACAGGAGCGGCCAGCCTAATGTGCCATGGAAGCCCAAACCACAGACAGGACAACTTGGAGAGACCCTCAGAGCGAAGGCACCGGGCTTAAGGGGACTTGGGAAAGGCTTTGTGAGGAAGGGAGAGATTTAGGTGGGCCTTGAGGGGAGCCGGGAGGCAGAGGTGAGGATGGGGGGCATTCCAGGCCAGGAAGACAGCCTGAGAAAATGCCCGGTGCTGGGATATGGAGGGACACAGTGGGGCAGCCAGGGGGCTGGTGTCTCTGGATCAGAGAGGACTTGTGGGGGAGGGAGGTGTGAGGAGCCTGCAAAGGGAGGAGAGGGCTGGAGATGACATGGGCCAGTGTGTCTAAACATCTGTTTCTGGCTCTGTGCTCAGTTCTAGGAGCACAGCAGTGGACATTAGCGCAGTGCCTGCCCTGCAGGGCCTTAGAGTCTAATGGAGGGCTGGGGGATGAGGCTCAAGCCAGTGAGACACCAGGCAGAGCATGACGGGCAGGTAGAAAGAGCAGACGGCCCCTGGAATGTGTGCTGAAGGGGAGAGCAGGCTGCCTGGAGAGGGTAAGCAGGCCAAGCCTTGAATGCAAAGAAAGCTCGGGGTGGGTGACAACAAGAACCAAGCCGGTCCCAAGCATAGGAGAAGCCTGGGCCAATGTGCAGAGGTGCCTACCAAAAAGGCTCTGTAGATGCTCCCCGGCTATTATAATGGTGAAGGCCTGAGGTCCTTACGTGGGCGGAGCACCGGGCCCTCAGTCAGTCAGCCAGCGTTCAGGAGGCACTTGCTGTGTACCGGGCGCCGTGCCACTGCTGGGGCACAGAGAAAGGCAAGAGACGTTTCCTGCCCCCAGGAGTTCACAGCGTGACAGAGAAGACGAAGCGCAAACAGCCGCGTTCAGACAGGACCTGTAATGGGTAAAGCGGGGCTGGTCTCTGAGGGGAGGAATGAGCACCAACGGGGGCCGCGAATGTTGGTCTTTTCAATCGTAGGTAAAAATGGACATTGATGCTCCATGGGGAAAGCCTGGGCTGCTGTCATCCGAACAGTTCTCGGGCTTGGGAGGCCTTGGGATGCAGCGCATTGGGGGGCGTATCAGATCATGAATATTTGGCCTTGTGTTTGTCTTAATGACACCCTCGTCCCAGACACTCCATTCAGAGTTCGGACTCTTAGAAATCGATTTCTCTGTTTAGGTAGAGAATGTCCGTCTGATGGATCGAATGTCTTCCAAAAAGCCAGCCCTGGGGACTTTGTATCTGACGGCCTCTCACGTCATCTTTGTGGAGAACGTGCCAGAAACCAGAAAAGAGACCTGGGTGCGTATGTTAGGCGCTATTATTCACAGTGAGTTTTGTTAGCATTTTGCCATTTCCATTTCGGGGGTGGGGCATGGGGAGGGTGTGAACCAGTGAGAAAGTCTGGTCTTGTCATCTTCTGGAGGCCCACGTCTTTCTGAGCTCCATGGGACACTTGGCCAAAAACTCGGGCACATCACACGTTTCCACAGTCCTGGAAACTCATCCTCAAACAGCACTGAAAACGTGGCACTTCTGGTTAAGTGAGGTTGGAGACCTTCCTAAGAAGAGGCCGGAGGGAATGCATTGGACAGAGCATAGCAGCAAGGAGCAGCCACAGGTTCGAAGGAAAGGCTTTGGAGCCAGAGGGTTTGGGTTCAAATGCTGCCCAACCACTTACCATGGGTCACATGACTTCCCTGTGGTCTTTGGACCCAATGGCCTGTGAGATGAGGGAGAGTTAGGCGTGGGGGCTTCTAAAGGTCTGCCATCCTATCGTGTTCTTCTACTCAAGACCCCGTCACTGGCTAAGGACTCACAACATGGCCCTAGTGGCCCAGGCCTGCCATGTGGTTTGTTCCCAGAAGTCTTGAAAATGGGCCATTTCAACATTGTAGTATTTCCTCATTTCTCAGAGGGGAAAAAATTGGTGAGTGCAGTGACAAAGAAAAAATGGTGAGTGCAGTCCCTCAACCAAGGAAAGTGTATTTATGGCAAGCCTGTGGGGCTTGGTGCCCAGCAGAGACCTACAGCCAGCCAATCACAGCATTGGCACTAGAACCCAGAGTCCGTAGCTGTATTCAAGTCCTATGGCATGGCCCAAGTGGACCCCTTCCCAGGAGGCTTGTTAGGAGGAGAACCTCGAATACAGATTCAGTTTCTCCTAGGAGTTCTAGAATAGGCCGAGGGTGGGCTGCTCCTCTCCTCCAGTCTTCAGATCTCCTGACCACCAACAGTGGAGAGGACAGAAAGTCCAAGTGATTTTTGGCCTGGACCGTCACTGAGATCCTGTGGTCCGCCTCTCCTGGGAGCCATCACGTCCTCTCATTGATTGGGTTTCTTTATTGTGATGTCCCCAATGGCTCAGGATCTCTCACTCACTCAAGGAACTCTGGACCCACACACATTGGGTCTGATCTCTAGGGGCTAGAAAACTGACCGGGGTCAGTTTCCATCTTTGGCTCACTGCCCCCCAAATGGAGTTCATTCAAGAAGACCTCCCAACAGCTTAGAGATGGCTCGTGTTTCAGTTTCACTCAGAGTGGTTGCAGGGTCCCCATCTCCTCTGAGGCCCCTGGGGCACACTTTGGGTATTAGGTATGGGGCAGCCTTCACCACGGAGTATGACCGGTATGCTTAGGTCTCACAGAACGTCCTAGCCTATGGCTTCCCTCTGCCTCCCCCAAAGGAAGACTGAGGTTACCGTCAAGGAAACCCTCAGTCATTGGGGTGGGTCCCCCCTTTCCCACTGAGTCCTAGACCATCTCCCCAAGGCCTGCAATGCCAGGCTGTGGTTCAGAGCCCCCTCTTGTTCCCCAAAAGGCTAATGACGAAGCGGCCCCCTCTCCGCCAGACCTGTCCTGTAATTCTCGACGTCACAGGGACCATGTGGGCTGCCTTCTTTCTTCAGAGTTCACTGCCTCAAGAAATCTGATTTTGCTGAGAGCTCATTCTAAGTAGTCCATGTCTGAGTTCTCAAACTTTGGGGTTACCCATAGAGCACATACCACAGAGGTCCCTGGAATGTCACGGCCTGCTGGCCTGAGTCGAACCTTCCCCTGGCCCCTGATTCATAGGATCCTAGATCTGGGGTAGACCTTAGAAGCCTTCTAGTCTAAGCCATCCATTTTACAGATGTAGAAACTGAGACCTAGAGGTGCCTGGATCACCCAGCTATGTCTGAGCCCCCAGGCTGGGGATATGAATGAGTGAAGGGGCAGGAGAAGCCAACTAGAAACCAGGATGGTGTTTCCCCGAAAAGGCAGCAAGTGCTGAACAAGCCTTTCCTCTTGTTGGCCCTGTGCTTGGCCTAACCTGTGACTGTGTGTTCCAGATTCTGCACAGTGAGATCTCCTCCATTGAGAAGCAGGCGACGACGGCGGGGGGCTGCCCGCTGCTTATCCGGTGCAAGAATTTCCAGGTGCTACACCTCGTGGTCCCTCAGGAGCGAGACTGCCAGGATGTGTACATCTCCCTCCTCCGCCTGGCCAGGCCAGGTAGGGCAGAGGGGCCGGGGGCTCGCAAGCGGGCTTTGGCACATTTGAGCCCACCTCACTGTCTGACAGGTGGCCTGCGTTTCTCTGTCTTTTCCGCAAGAAGAGTGTGAGCTATTCTGTCACCGGCTTTGTTAAAATCTGTCTGTGCTGACGCGCTCCGTAGACCTTTCGGTCAGAGAAGCGTTAGGAGGCGCCGACTTGTTCCGGAAGCTCTTTGGGATGACTGGTTCCTTGTCTAGGCATTCGCCAAGCATCCCTTTAACACTGGTGTTGCTGTTCAGCCACATCTGACTATTTGTGACCCCATGAACCGTACTTGGGATTTTCTTGGCAGAGGTACTGGAGGGGTTTGCCTTTTCCTTTTCCAGTGGATTAAGGCAACTGGAAGTTAGATGACTTGCCCAGGGTCACACAGCTAGTGAGGCAGGATTTGAACTTGGGTCTTCCTGACTCTGGGCCCAGCGCTCTATCCACGAGGCCACCACTCTGCCATTCTGCAAGGAGTCCAAGTCAGGCTCATTGGCCTGTGCAGGTTGCAGATTCCATTTTCTTCCTTTTCTTCTAGTCCTTTCTTCAGTCCTGTAGTACTGGTCCTTCTCTGCAGGATCTCTCCAAGACCACTGAGAGCAGCCCAGCAGGGCCGGTCCTCTTAGCAGCCTGGCGTGTGCCCTGCTGGCTGGAGTGCATGGAGGGCTGGGAGGTGCTCGCGTATCCCAGGCGTCAGCTCCTCCGGGGAAGGCCATTTTTCTTCTCTGTTTCAATGTAAAAGTCATTCTCCTTGTCAGTAAAAACAAAAGCCAAGTGTGCCGGGCATCCCTGCCTTCTTTCTGGAGGTATCATCACACGGCCTTAGAGCAGGAAGACGCTTGAGGCCCAGAGAGGTTAACCTGCCCGAGCCCGTGTGAGTTATCGTCAACTCTGGGTCTTGAGCCCGTCGGTCAAGGGCCTCCACGTCCTGTGGCCCTCCCCTGCCCCACCTTGGCCTTCTCAGCCGTGTAGCCAGTCAGCACCGTCCCTGTTGGCGCAAACATTCTAGGCCTTCTTCCAGCTTCCCATTTTCACAGTAGAGCCAAAAACCTTGTTGTTTTTTTTTATTGTCGTCCTTCACTTTGTTCACCAGCCTCAGCTCGTTCTAAGCTTTATCATTCCTGACTCTAAAACCTGTGTGTGTTTGTACCCACCTTTGTCTCCATCTTCGGGACACGTCTTTAGAAACCTCTGATGACCAGAGAGTTCTCTGTGCATCCTCATCCCCCTCTTTTGACAATACTTCTTTTTGTGCTCCTCAGAATTGTTTCTCTTCTTCTCCAGAGGTTCACTCTTGAGGGCTTTCCTTTCCATGGGCCGACTTCCCCTTGATAATTGCTGGTCATGAGGTCCTATGTGTCGTTCCTCTGAGCCCTTTGGAGCGCTCTTTGAGGACGTTGAAGACGGAGTCCTGACGCACTGGCGCCTGCACAGAAATCCTGGGATGCTGAGAAGCTATTTCTGGGAGGGCTGCTCTTCTGGGGTTCTAGAGCTCAGCCTCTGCCCAACCCCACCATGACCTTGTGCGTCCTCCCCCAACCTCATGCCCCCAGCACCTCTATAGAGGGGTCTATGGGGAGGAATCAGTGTTATCTATCTCATAGCTTGATATTTTAACTCATTCTCACTGGGGTGGATGGGGTGTTCAGGGAGGACCGGCACCTCTGGTGGGAGGACTGCCCAGCCCTTTTCAGAGCTGCTCATCACCTTTGGTTTCCACCTGTCACCCAGCTCTCGCCTGTGGCTCCAGGAAGCCGTAGAACACGCACGAGCCACACCCTGGTAAGCCGTCTTGGAAGATGGGCTAAACCAGGTTGAGGGTAACTGAGGCCTCAAGCCCATTGGTGAGTTAGGGGGGTGTCTACCCCAGCAGAATGAGAGGATAAGAATGTGTTCCAGTGGCCACAAAGGTGGCTGAAGCAGGTGAGCTTGGTCAGATGTGGAAGACGCCAAGGTCTCCCACTGCATCTTGGGCCATTGTCAGTCATCCTCCTGACTTTTGTCTTGCCACTGGACTTCGATGAGGAAGGGCAGTTGGAGGGAAAGCAGGAAAGCCTTTGTGTGTGCTTGAGCTGAAAGAAAATTGAGGATTCTAAGAGCCAGTGGTGAAGGGGAGTGCATCCTAGGCATGAGGCACTGCCAGTTCAAAGGTGCGGAGAGAGGAGAATGGCATATGAGGAACTGGGAGAAAGCTTGTTTGGCTGGATTAGAGCATAGGAAGGAGGAAGAGTGGCCACCGAGGCTGCAAAGGTGGCTGGAGGAGGCGTGGGTTTTGTCTTAGAGTCTGCGGACTGACATGGTCATGCCTGTGCCTTGGGAAGATGATCTTGGCATCTGGTGCCAGGAGCCTGGGAGCGAGGGGCCACTTGGGAGTCTGGGGCTGTCTTCTCGGTGAGGGCTGATGTGAGCCTGGATCAGAATGCTGGCTGTGGGGGGAGAGAGAAGTGGATGGAACCAGACGTCTTGGACGTAGAATCGCTAAGACCGGCAGCTGCCCTTTTCTCTGGTCCATCAGGACGGTGCCAGCCCTGCCATGGCCACTTGGACTTCTGCTCCTGCTGTGGGCACTGGGAAAGGAAAAGGCCAGGGTGGCTCGGGAGAGCTGGTGGGGGAGGAAGTGCACAGAGATGGACTGATTGCTTTGAAAATAGTTAAACACGTCCAAGGGGACGGCAGGGGTTTGGGGCTGGTGGTATGCGGCTGGCTTCCCTTTCCCCGGCACACACGGGATGATGCTGATTGGAAGTTCAATGGGAAGGAGGCTCGTTCCTCATCATGGGAATGTGAAAGCAGAGAACGTTGAGTGGAAAAGCCATGTGAGGGTGTCCAGCACTGAGGGCAGACACAGCTGGTAAAGACAGAAGCATTGACAAAGACAGACAGCCCCCGGGAGTCAGGCTAAAGAAGCAGGGGCCGACTATCGGTACGAATCCGTATCTGATCAGGGTCCGAATGTGGGAAGGAGCCCAGGAGTCGTCTAAGCCAATGGACCTGAGCTGTGTGGTCCATCCAGCCTCAGTGATGGCCGAGCTCAGAGTGGGGGGATCGAGCCAGGTCCTGGGTAAATACACCACCGACGTGAGACGGACTTGTCAGCAGCAGCGAACAGAGGAGGACAAGTCTGAACAGCGCTGAGCCCCTCAGCTGGCCTGCCCGGCGTGGCCCTGCTTATCTTCGGCCAGAGTGATGGTGCCAGAACCCCACGCCAGCTCTCAGCCCAGAACGTGGGCTTGGGCTCCCCAAGAACCCCCGGGGGAAAGAGGACAGCCCCGTGCCATCTGACCACGGCAGGTCTCCTCTGGGCTCCCAGGGCACCTGCAGCGGCGCCATCAAGAAAAAGAATTTTCCTACTGAAGATGAACTAGTCTCCTTGAATGCCATTGACACTTTGGAAGTAAAATTACCTACCAAAAAACATTTTGTTTTTAATATTAAAAACAATTAAGACTTGGCACCCAATTAGATGTGGCGGGGGGCCAAGGGTGGGGTAACACCCTGAGGTGGTAAACCTGGGTGACTGGGAGAATGGTGCTGCTCTCAATAGAACAGGCAGCTAGGTGGTGCAGTGGGTAGAGCGCTGGGCCTGGAGGCAGGAAGACCTGAGTTCAAATCCTGCCTCGGGCACTAATTGAGTGAGGGCTAGCCTTCTGCCTGCCTCACTTTCCTCATTTGTAAAATGAGCATAATAATAGTGCCTCCTTCCTGGGGTTGTTGTAAGGATCAAATGTTTGTAAAGAGCTATGTAAATGCTAACTAAGATTATTACTATGGAAGTAGAAAAGTCTAGGAGAAGGGCGGGCTGTGAGGCGAGCTGAGGTGCCTTTGGAACATCTGGGTCCCAGTGAGCCGGGTGATCCTCAGCAGCTCCTGCCTGCAGTTTGGACTTTCTCTGTTTCCTAGAAATTGGCTTGTTGTGATTCCCTGCAAATACAGTGTTTCTCCTCACCCTGGTGTGTCCTATGGAAGGCTGGCCAGGTGCTCAGTCACCTGTTTTTCCATGTAGCTCTCCCTTGGGGCTGGCTCAGTAACGGGGTGATGGCTGATGTCCCGCCATGGCCCTGGCGATCAGGGCTGGCTGTGCCCCCCCACCCTCCAGCACCGCTGTCTGCTCCTAGGTCTCGTCTGCTTTCAGTAAAAGTCTTTCTTGAGCCACCAATCATCTTGTCATCCCTTCCCAAACACGAATCGAATGCGCCGTCAGACTGTCACAGTGGCCACAGAGGGAGCTGGGACAATGCGCAGTCTCAGCTGGTCCTTGAGGTCTGGGAAGGACCTCCGTGGGCAGAGATGGGGAGAATCCCTTCCAGCCCCGGTGACTGTGAACAGAGACACAGACCTGGAAGAACACGGGATGAGAACAGGGAAAGAGAGCGGCCGGTCTGTTGGAAGGCTCCAGGGGAAGGAGGTGAGCTCTCAGGTGCACTTGCATGGACAGGCTGGAGTCAGGTGGTGGAAGCCTGGAAACACGTGCCTTCCTCAGTGGCAGAGAGGAGCCCCTGAAGGTTTGTGAGCAGAGCAGCCCCGGCAGTCATGGTGGTGTCCTGGGGGGGTGCCTCGGGGGGCTGAGTTGGCCCCTTTGAGGCCTCTGAGGGGCCACTTCGAGCTGGACTGCTTCCCTCCCACAGCCATCCTCATAGCACACATTCCATACATTCCTGACTCAGCCGGGGCAAGCATACACCCATTGCTCCAGGTAGGCTTGTGGTGATTTCTGCATTTTGTGCTCTTGTTATACTGGGGGCTGACACAGCCTAGTGTGTGTTCAGTCATTTTTCAGTCGTGTCTGACTCTTCATGACCCATTTGGAGTTTTCTTAGCAGACACACTCGAGTGCTTTGCCATTTTGTCTCCAGCTCGTCTTACAGATGAGGAAACTGAGGCAAATAGAGTGCACACATGGCTAGTCAGCGTCTGAAGTCGGAACTGAACTCGTGAACAACAGTCTTCCTGACTCCAGGCCCAGCCCTCTCTCC